ACAGCCCCAAGCCTGTCTCTGCATGCTGCATTCACCATGCGCTTTATCAGCGCTGTTACCTTTCTTGGTCGTCTTTTCTAAAGCGATATCCGAGGCCGGGGGAGTGCCAGCTGCGTGTTTGGTATCCGTTCCCCCCACAGTTCCCCCAGCAGTCGAGTTGGCGTCGCCAGAGGCCATGTCACTCATGAGCATACTGGCCTGGGTCATGGGCTCTGTGGCAGGGTGGGGACCCCAGCCTCCCACTGTGGGCTGCTCGCTCGGGAGCGGTGCTTTTGCCATATTGGAAAGCGCTGGCTCGCGGCTGGATTTCGCAGACCACGTGGTGGGGGCGAGGGGGGTCGGAGACGGGTCCACGCAGATTTGGTCGTGTGTGGCGTTTCCGCTGCCCACTGCGATCTTGTTTAGCTTGGCACAGCTGGGTAGGGGAAGGAGAACACGGAGGTTAAGGCACGTGGAGGAAAACGCACCCGGACTCCTTTGGGAAATGGAAAATAGCACGGGGGCAGCAGGCATGAGGCAGGGGAAGGCACCGGCCTTTCCAAACTGCCAGGCACGGCCCCGCCCACACTCCCTCCCCCTGCTTCAGCACGGCTGCCTCCGCGCGTCAGCTGTGCTAAGGCTGGGACCCCGCGTCGCCTGCCTTCCTGTGCTCCAGGGCCAGGAAGTCTGGGGCCATGCCCCCCACTTCCCATGTGCCGGGGCTGGGGAGGCTGGGACTACGAGCTGCCCATCCTCCCATGCTCTGGGGCTGGGAGACTCACATGGAGGGCTGGAGTCCTGCTCCTGCACGGGGGAGGTTTGTGGCAGAGGTGGCGGAGCTGAAGACCTGCCTTGCAGTGGGGGGGAGAAGGAGGCTGGACCCCTGCAGGTAGCAGGGCCTCAGGTGGAAGAGGTGAGGCTGGGGAGTTGCCTCCCCCAGCCCTTGGTTCACCCACCTCCCATGGAAAATTAAGTTACCTGAGCGATCACATCCCCTTGCTTATTTTTGTGCCAGCATAGCCAGATGCCCTTAACTAGAAGCTCTTCCATTCCCTTGACTCCTCCCCCAGCCCTAAAGGATCTCTTTAAGCCAGAAGTGCAAATCTAACCCATGTGAGCTCAAGGTTAGGCAAGAGGGCTTCATCCAGCTCCACTCAACACCTCCCTCCCCCAAAGCAACATCGTCTGGGGCAAATAGAGAGACAGGGAAATCTCTGTTACTTGAGCCCTGGGTTGGATGTCTCTAGTTTGTCCCAGAAAAGCAACAACTTCCTTCCAGCTCTGGCTCTAGCTTTAAACAGCTAGGGGTGCCAGGTGTCTGGTATTGGCCCGGACAGTCCGGTATTTGCGGCTTCTGTCCGGTAAAAAACCCCCAGAAAAATATAAAATGTGGGGTATTTTCTGTTTTTCTCGGACAGAAGGCCACTTGGGACATTCTTCCCCTGCCATGTCTGGGGTGGGGTGGGAGGAGCATGGGGATTTAAAGGCATCGTGACTGGTTGGTTTTTTTTTGTGCAGCTGGGTTTTTTTTTTGCTCAACCAATTTTTTCCCCTGCCATGTTCGGTACTTTTTGTAAAACTATCTGGCAACCCTATAAACAACCAGTCAGAAACCTGAGCTTACTCTGTGTGGGGCTTGCAGGGCTCGGTGCTGGAGTACTGATCAGAGAAGGTACCCCAAGAGCATTCCTCACAGGAGACATCAACTTTCGAGGTGCCTGCGGGGAAAAAAATAAGTGATCATTGAGCAGTACGGGACAGAGGAAGCCGCAGCATCAGCGCCGCCCCATGGCCGCAGACAGAGGAGACTGGCTAACAGGGGTCGGATGCCTACCTCTAACTAGGACTCCAAATCCTGGCTGGCAGACCGTGTGGGACACGCATCGTGCACAGCTGTTGAGAACGGCCACCTTACAGAACATCCCCGCTCGGCACTCGCACACCCTGCTGGTATCAGAGGAGCAAGGTACCTTCTCCACAAGGTCGTATTCTGTAGGAGAAGAAAGGGGGAGTGAGAAAAAAATTAGCATGAAGGAGACACAGGCAGAAGAGACGAGTTGGGCAGCTCTGGTCCAAGAGTCCGGGCAAGCAGGGTGGGACACAGGATCACAAGTGCCCTGTTCACCAGCAACTTATGTCAGAACCGCAGGAGCAGTCTGCAGACCAATGGGCTTGAGTCTTATCAATCAAGCTGGGATCAGGCGGGGTCAATAGCTGGATGGGAGACTTCTAAGGAAATGCCACGTCCCATAGGAAATGGCTTTGTAGTGTGGCAGGGGGCATTCCCCTCTCTAAGAACTGAGCCAGTGCCGGGGGCCAGTCTACAGCTGATATGCCAAGTTCTGAATGAACGGCTGTTACTACTGGGTCCCAACCGCATGTGGGCTGTCAAGATCTCACTACACATTTCCAAGATCAAGATGTTAACTCTCCCACCCTAGCCAAATCTTAGGCTCTGAATTGAGGTTGGTCCTCTAAATTCTCCAGGCAGCTTCACTTAAACTTGGTGCTAACCTCCCTGTTCTAACCTGGGCTATGTCTACACTCGCGGCTTCTTGCGCGAGCAATATGCAAATGAGGCTAAGTGTGGAATATCGCCGAGCCTCATTTGCATACCTAATGAGCCACCTTTTTTTTTCCAGAAGAGGCTCTTGCGCAAGAAGGAACGTCTACATTGCCCCTTCTTGCACAAGAAAAACCCTCTTGCGCAATGCTGTTACACCTATTACTTTTCAGGAAGAACGGCATTGTGCAAGAGGGTTTTTCTTGCGCAAGAAGCGGCAGTGTAGATGCTCCTTCTTGCGCAAGAGCCTCTTCTGAAAAAAAGGTGGCTCATTAGGTATGCAAATGAGGCTCGGCGATATTCCACACTTAGCCTCATTTGCATATTGCTCGCGCAAGAAGCCGCAAGTGTAGACATAGCCTCATTGTTTTAAAGCTCTTTGCATTTGGCACATCAGGGGCACAAGGTGTTTAGTGTTCTTGTGCATTATTAAGCAACTTGCTGCATCAGCCCAGAGGTTGCTGCAATCCTGGTAGTAAAGCTGTTCAGTGTCTGCAAAACTCTGGGTCCATCGGGGTGAAAGACATGAGAGATGGGCCCACACCAGAATCCCAGATCCAGACTGCAGGAGAACTAAGATGCAAATCTGAATTTCAGACCCAAATTAGCCTGGTTCGTTCTTCTCTCTAATGTTAGGTCATGTGGTGGGACTACTTTTCAAAAGGGGGCACTTTAACAGAACATCCAAGTCAAGTATTGGAGAGATGTAAGAGCAGCTTAGTTAAACATCTGACACGGATGATCTAGATGGTGCTTGGTCCTGCCGTGAGGGCAGGGACTGGACTTGATGACCTCTCAAGGTCCCTTCCAGTCCTAATAGTCTATGATTTTATGCTCAATCAAGCGCACGAAGTAGGAATGGGCACGTCTGGCTATTCCACTCTCCAAGAGCCTAATTCAAATACCACCAAAGTCAGTAGGAGTCTTTCCATTGACTCCAGTGGGATTTGGACCAGGGCCCATAGGCAGCCTTTGGAAGTCCTCTTGACACGCCCCTTTCACATAATGGGGAGACTAGAGATGTAAGCAATGAATTGACTAGTCAACTATCCAATAAGCAAAAGATTATCAGATACTCGACACGAGTCGACTAGTTGCTTCTTCCCCTCCCCTATCAGAAAGAGGCAACAAGGGGGGGAAGAGGAAGTAGTGTTGGGAGGGGGAGGCTTAAAAGCCTGTCTCCCCCCAGCTCCAGCTCCATGCAAGGGGGAAGGAGTGCAGCGGTGGTGTTCCACCTTTGAAATGTACAAGAGTCCCTGCTGGAGCTCTTGTACATTTCAAAGCGGAAGCGCTGGATCGGGGCCAGCACTGGCCCAAGGCTCCATGCGGCATTTAAATGCACTTCTGCCTTTGAAATGTAGCAACAGCTGGGCAGGCTCTTGCTACATTTCAAAGCAGAAGTGGCCTTATCGACTAATCCAATGATTCATCTAATTTTAACATTGCTCACTGCAGGGCCCAATAACTTGAAAAGTGGCCCACCTCACACGGACTCAGGACACTTTCAGACAGGCAGCGGAAAGGCAGGAAACCAAGATACAGTGAAACCCAGAGACAGTCTCGGCATGAAATAGGTGCAGGGGAAAAGCAAAGCAAATACCTGGTTTGCACGACACACACGCATCGCAGCGAGGCCTCTTGTGCTCCCTGTTCAGGAAGTACTCGGGCTCACATTGGCTGCAGTCCCTGCGTGGATCTGTGGGACACGCTTTCCTTTTATGGTCATCTGACAGAGAGACAGCAAAATCAATAGGAAGTCTCTTACCAAGGCTCTGAGAGAAGCAGAGGCAGAGAACCAATCTGTCAAAAGCTGTGCCTGCCCTGCAGTGCCCTCTTCTGGCCAAGTGTAGCTCAGCCGTGCCATGCCTCAGTTTCCCTTTCCGGTAGGCTTTTCTCTTCCCCTAATACCCTGGTTTATTATCCTAAACTGTTCCCATCACAATAAAGTCCTCAGAGTCCAATTTCATCCTCCCCAGCTCTACCTGCCTGGAGTCTTTGAGTCCCTAGTAGACGGTCTTCTGCTGCAGCCCCCAGATCTCCTCCTTGGAGCAGGGGGAGTAATTAAGGCCCAATGTAAATCCTCACCTAGCTCCTTTCCCCAGTCAATCCCTCTAGGACTGCGGAGGGGAAGACAATAGGCCACTTCAGAAATTTTTGAAGTGGCCCTAGCCACCTTGGAAGGGGCGGAGCCTCAGGTGGAAGGGGCGGGGCTAGGATACTTACATGCTTCCCCACCCACAGACCGTGATTGGTCTAGGAGTGGGGGAGCACTCAAAGTCTTTGCCCCCTTCCCCTCCAGAGAGAACCGCCAGCTTTTCTGAACAGCTGGCGGTTCCCTCTAGGTACCCGTGCCCCCAGGTCAGTCGGGGCCTAGGGAGGGGGAGCATGCGAAGTCTCTTGCTCCCTGCCCCCGCCCTGCAAAAGAGCCCCCCCGCTTAGAGTCAGCCGCCAGCTGAGCAGCAGCTGGAGATTGACTTTAAGTGCTGAGCCCCTTGTAGGGTGGGAGGAAACTTCTCGTGCTTCCTACCTCTTCTCCCCTCTTCCCCCCCCCCCCCCCCCCCCAGCCCTGCTCCTTCTGCCCGAGGCCTTGCCCCTTCCAGGGGGGCTAGAGCCAGCCCACAACCAGGTACTAAAATTCCCTGCTGTAGGAGGATTCTGCAGGCAAACCTCCTCCAGCCGCTGTCTCCACACCTTTTGAGGGCAGAGCTAGAGTGCCTGGATTAGCTAAGAAAGGAATCCTGCCCTGCCCTGTACAAGGCTCCTGGTCCCAGGCCTTAAAGAAACAGCATCCTGGGTTTTCCCTCAAGCCTTAACTATCCCCATTCCTCTCTCCCCATACCTAGCTCTGTCTTCTCTAGCTCTTCATCCACTCTTGCAAAGAACCAGGACTTAAAGGGACACACCACAGAACAGGTGTGGGTTAACCACTAGTGCTTACTACCCTTTAGGGGACAGTCACCCTGTTCTATGTCCCAAGACTGTCCACGCACTCACCTCCCACACAACACTAGAATGGAGCTTAGCTCTGCACCTGTCCCCCAGGGCTGGAGACACGCTACTGCAGGAACCAGCCTAGGGCCGTTACCTCAGCATGCCGTGGGGTGTTAAAAATGAGAAGACAGAGTGGGCTGGCAGCGTCATACGGCCTCGCTGGCTCTTTTGGGGCAATGGTAACAATACCCCAGGCCGGGGCTACACTTTTGCTGCTCTAGAAATCTGCTCCCCTCTCAAACGCTGTGCAGAGGGGTGTGACGGGGCACCCCCGCCCCACACTGAAGCCAGGGGAATGGCCTTGGCCCAGCTGGCCAAGAAGCCCCACCCCCACAGCCCTGCTGGGCATGCTCCCACTGGAGACAAACTATAAGAGCCTCTGGAGCAGTTCAGTCGGGGCAGACCGTCGGGGGGAAGGAGCTCACTCCAGAGCAGCTGCCTCAGAGACAGCGGCACCAGCCTCGGCCGCAGTAGCAGCATCCTCAGCAACCCCAGCAACAGCCCGGCCAGGGAGACCGTCCCGGAGGGCCTGACCTGCCGAGCAACGCCCCAAGAGCGGAGCAGCACGTCAGGAACGGTAGGAAGTGGCCCAGGAAGGAGGTTTATCCTCCAGGAGTTCGGCGTGTTCCGGCCGGCATCCCTGCCAAGCAGGCAGCGGAATCCTCCACTGGCAACAGGGACCCGGTGGAGCGGGAGGGCCTGGGTCCACCTTGCTCCCCACCCCACAACAGACCAGCTCTCTAGCAGTTGGGAGGGTGACCTGCGGACTAGGCCTCAGGGCCGTATACCCTGCTAGAGGGAACTGTGCTTTGAACTAGGCCTGTCAGCTGCATATAGCCTGATAGAGAGACATAGGTTTGCCAGATGCTTTCACCAAAAATCCTGAACATGGCAGGAAAAAAGCTTGGTGGAGAAAAAAAAAAAAAAAAAAAAAGTCGTTGCGCCTTTAAGAATCCCCGCATTCCTCGCTTCCCCCGCCCACACTTGCGGCAGAGGCACAATTTCCGCACTGGCCATTCGTCCAAGAAAAACAGAAACTACCAGACATTTTACATGTCTGGTATTTTCTGGGTTTTTTTACTGGACAGGAGCTACAAATAACAGACTGGGTGAAAACTGGACACCTGGCAACCCTAGAGGGACATTTGGTATGAACTGAGCCTACGGGCCATGTTTGCCCTGGGAAAGGGGACAGGGACCCAAACTCTGGGGACTTCTGGCCCGTCGAGGGGGCATGCCCCGCGACAGGGGGAACTTGGAGAGGAGCGCTCCACTCTCACATGTGTGGAAGGAGGCCCGATTGGAGTCTCTCTAGGGCAGCTGCTGTGGGGAGCAGAGGTGAGCTAGAGGCACTTCTAAAAAGGTCAATATCCTAAGCAGCCTGTGTGGTGTAACAACAGCCCTGACTATGCCCTGAGATTAGAAGGGCTGCCCAACGCTTGACCACAGGAGCAGCTGGGAAGTGGGTAACCACTACCACAGAGGAGACACAGTGATGCAGTGGCACACGCACGGTGAGAAATCCAAGCCACGGCCTGGGGCAAAGAGAGGGAGCCTTCAGAGAGGAGAGAAAGACTGCAGGAGAACAGCCCATCTCTCTGCAGCGCGCACCCCCTGGGCTAACAACGCGGAGAAAAACAGCCCACTTGCTACACCTCCTGGCAAGCACCGGGTGGGCGGTGCAGCTGATAGCATCAGTGCTATACTTAGCCAGGAGATGTCTGGTGGCATTTAATCAGTCACCCAGGTGGCTCTCACCTCCCACTGTCTGAGGCCAGTCTCACTCGGGTGCACCACCGCAATGCCCATGCTCAGGCCTGCAACGTGACCCTTTAAAAAAAAAAAAGCTCTTTTCTGTAGTGACCAGCTGTGCCAGGAATTCAGGCTGAAATAACGTAGCCCTGGCTCAGCCAGCCAGCTGCCCATGAAATCAACACTGCTCTGGGATTCTGCTCAGAGGCACGATGCTCTCGTATAGTGCAGCTCCCGGTCAGTAGTGCAGCAGGGGTGCTAAGGCAGCTTCTTGCCTCTCCTGGCACCACAGACCATGCTGCACCCTAGAAGCAGCCAGCAGCAGGCTCCCAGCCAATGGGAGCGCGGAGCTAGCGCTCAGGGCAGGAGCCAGGCCTGCTGCCGGCCACTTCTAGGGCACAGAGCAGTCTGAAGTGCCAGGACAGGCAGGGAGCTACCTTAGCACCCCCACTGGTCACCTGATCCCCCTACAGCAAGGAGATCCAGTGCCTGATATTCCAAGACTCCGTCGCGACCTGCAGTTTGAAAACCACTGACCTAGCAGACAGGTTCTGGGATGTACATATGGGGCGGAAGTCGCGGAGCTAGCGCTCAGGGCAGGAGCCAGGCCTGCTGCCGGCCACTTCTAGGGCACAGAGCAGTCTGAAGTGCCAGGACAGGCAGGGAGCTACCTTAGCACCCCCACTGGTCACCTGATCCCCATGCAGCAAGGAGATCCAGTGCCTGACATTCCAAGACTCCGTCGCGACCTGCAGTTTGAAAACCACTGACCTAGCAGACAGGTTCTGGGATGTACATATGGGGCGGAAGTTGGGAGACAGGGATTGGTAGCTGATGCTGATGGTGGTGGAGAATTGGGATGAGAGTGAGGAGCTGAGAGAGGACTGTACATGCTACTTGAATTCTGGCATTTCCTAACTTTTGAGGGTTTGACTTTGCAACCCAAATATCCTTTCAGGGTCATTTTGGCTATATGTAGGGTAAACTGAGGCAGCCCTAAATGTGCTAGTAGGCCTCTAAACAGCATAACTCCATTCTAGGATTAAGGCCTGGGAACACCAGTCAGGATAAGAACTGCAGACAGTAAAAGACCCTAGGCACCATAGCAATCACGTTCTAAAACACTTGGACAGGGTCTCAGTTGGTAATGTAACACATTTTGCTTAAGATAACATTCATAAAATTTGCTTAAACTGTCTTGCTTCACTCCTAGATAATAAGCCTGAGAACCAAGCGCTGCACCAACTTAAGGCCATACCCGCCTGCTATAGCAACATCATCTATGCAGACTAAAATGTTATTACTGTTTTGCTGACATGTTTTGGCATTTGAACAATAACCACCTGTATATTAATTAACGAGCTGTTACTTTGCAATGGGCGGAGATATTATGTAATCTTGTGTAGTTCTATTGGCTTATGTGCTCATTTCGTCTTGCTGCTAGACCTATCAAATCATTTTTCCTCCGTCCACCTGCTGACTATATAACCTATTGTATAGTGTTAATTAACCAGTGTTCACCAGGGTAACCCCTGCGTGTCACTCCATCAGCTGATGTATAATAAATCCTCTGCTTGTTTTCACCTGCATCCAGCTATATTAATATAGAGTCTTTGTCCATGGCCTGTTCCCCTCTCTGATCCTTTTTTACACTATTCTCCCTCTACATTCCCACCTCCCTTTTCTTCTCTCTCCCTCTCTGCTCCTCTTTAACCTCCCTCCTTCCTTAAACAGAAGAGCAAGCCAACATCCATCAGGTACAAATCAAATTGAACAGCCCCCAGATCTGTAAAATAAACTAGCCCCTCTGAAGCTAGACTGACAGACACCAAATGAGGCTCAAAGAATCATAGCGCAAGGGTCACTAGTCTGAAGCCTTGCCAAGATGCAGGGTTTGTTGCATCTAAACTATCCAAGACAGTTGAGTAGGTTCCAAAGTGGGTAAAAGCAGCTTCTTTGGCCCTAATTTCTTGTTTTAATGCTGGGGTGGGGAACCCTGTTTGGGTCAGGGGCTGCTGACCCACGGAAAACAAAACCCTGTCAAATCCAGGGGCTGACGTGGCCCCTGACTGAGAAGGAGAAAGACACTCCCCACGTTCCCCTCGCACGCCAGAGCCGAGGAGTCCCAGGCTAGTAGATTGTGTGTGCACCAGCCCCGCAGGGGAGCGCAAGTGGGGAGCTGCAGCCCCAGTGCGGGCTCTCCAGTGCTGGGGGGGAGCCCTGAGCCTCAGAGGCTAGATTCAGGCTCAGTCCCCGGCCTTCGGTACCCTACCCCTGTTTTAATGGAAGCAGTTCCTCCTATTCCTAATGTATAACATCTTGGCTGGTCTCACACGGGTGGCTAGCTCCTGAGCCCTTTGGCATCGTCGTGACATCACCGGGTCACAGCACAGGAAGTCCTGCCATTGACCCAATCCAACTTCATGCAAATGCTTCCCGGCGAGCCCAGTGCCCCCATGCACTAACCAATAAATGTCACAAATTTCCTTTTGAGAAAAAAAAGAAACATTTTTGCACAGAGGGAAATACCACTCAATGCCCTGCCCACTGAAATATTCTGGCCAATGAAGCGAGCTTCAGGCATTTCCAGGACTCGGTCTCTCTAAGCCATTTCCTGTTTCTGACCACAAGGTTCGTTACTCTTCATGAGTCACAGCTGGCTTCCGAGCGGTCTGCTGCTTGAGCTGAAAACAGGCTGCCCACCTCCCTGTACCCTGGAGCACTTTCTGAACGGTTTTGACTCTGAAGAAAGTGACAGAGTTTCCCGTCTAGTGTTTTCTGTTTTTATGGCCTGTGATCAGATGCAAATTTAGCGTCATGGTTTTACTGGACAGTTTGAAATGTTGCAGAAGCAAATAGTTGGGTCCCATTGTCATACAGCGCAAAACACCAGCAACTCACTACGGCAGTGTTTTACACTTCCCCTTTGCACGGGTGTAAATGACAATGTAAAGTGAAGGACAGGGCAGAGTCAAGCTCAGTGGCATGCAAATTAAGGTCCCAATCGTGAAAGGTCCTGAGCACCTCCAGTGAGGTGCTGAGGGCCTTCAACAGCGGGTGGCCTAGCTCCTCAGCAGACCAAGTCCTCAGAGTATGTTTACAACATGGCGACGATGTTGGCATAGCTACATCATTGTTGTGGCGTTGGCATAAGCCCGTAGTAAAGACCTGATGGAAGGGATTGTTGCATTGACATAGGAGCTAAGGTTGCCAACTTTCTATTGGCACAAAACTGAACACACTAGCCCCGCCCCTTCCCTAAGCCCCACCCTTACTCACTATAGTCCCTCTCCCTCTGCAGCTCACTCTCCTCCACCCTCACTTTCACTGGGGGGCGTGGGGGCACTGGAGTGTGGAAGGGGGTGAAGGCTCTAAATAGGGGTTGGGGCTCCAGGTGCAGGAGGGGGCTCCGGGCTGGGGCAGGTAGTTGGGGTGTGGAAGGGAGTGAGGTG